AGACCTATTTTCCACAGAAATGCTAGTTATGTGTTTCAGTCAGGATTAATTTAGATTTTTTTTTTATTCCTACATGTATCAGAATCATTCATCGAGGGGAAGTTCTTACATATCCATTCCCAGAATCCTCTTAAGACATCTGGTCTCATTAGAAGATCAAATAGATCCTCCAGATTCATTAGTTGTTCAACAAAGTGGGAATTAGTTTCTCACTGCTCTTGTGTTTGTGAGATATTTAAGACACAGATGAGAGAAAAATAACAAAGAAAATGTACAATCTTCTTGACTCACAAAGACAGGTCTTTCACCAATGTGAGGAGGTCTTAAATTTGCTTTTAATTTCCAAAAACACAAGGCAAAAAAGTCAAGAGTATCAGCCATCCTAAGATTTGGTTTGAAGATTAGAAGGTGCATGGGATTTACGATATTACCTCAGAAAACACTTCTAATACATTTATAATTAGTGGCTCATCTATCACCTGATTGCAATCTTGTATTCTCTTTCTGTGTCTTTTCACAAACATGCATTAAAAGTAACCCATGCTGAATATGCAGGGCATCAAGTAGAATTGTATTTATCCATTTTAACTGCTGAGCACAACCCGTATGTTGTTACTGAACCAGATTCTCCCACAGAGTACACTATCTGTAGAGGGTAAGGTATTAAAGAATGCTCCGGACACACTCTCGAGGCTCAGAAGTGCTAGCTGGTAGATCCACTCTACTGAATGATACCCCAGTGGCCTGAAAGAATTATTGTAGCTTTCTAAAGTGACTCATTCACTCCCAGGGGGTCGTCTGAGCTCAGAGAAAATCTGTCTCACTGATTATTAGTGATTTAGTAATTGGATGGTAGTGATGGACTTCTGATAACCTAGAGATTTGCTTTAGCTTCACTGGCAAAGACCTGTGTTTTCAGAGTCAAAGGTTACACTGCCTATTTGTGTGTGTTTCTTGGGGGTGGGGAGGGGGGCTGTACAAAGTACTGCTTTTCAGAACCTGAATCTGCCAGTCCCAATTCTGACATTTAGTAGCTGTATCATCTTGAGCCAAGTCACAATTCCACTCCTGCTTCAGTATCTTCATAGGTAAAATCAAGAGGTGGGTCAAATGATCTCCACCATGTCTTCAAACTCCGGAAAAATCTGGTTTCTAGGCCTGGAATATCTTCTGATGCATATGTGCTGTTTTGAAAGCTACTAGTTTCATAGTATTAATTTCATTGTTCTCATGCCAGTATTTTGGATTGGAATTAGAATTGGCCCTTACAGGTGTATAGAAAAACAGAACAGCTCACTTATGCGTCCGCATCCCTTCTTCCCTAATCATCTTCCAGCTCTGAAATTGCACGGTTTCTAGGAGTATACAGTCTTTTTTTTTTCTTTTGCTGTTTATGTGCTATTACATGAACTGTGAGGTTGGGAGTTATAATTTCCTTTCTCATTACAATATTTTGAATAGGAACCAGAATATCTTTTTTGCACCTTGTAGCCATGTAGAAAAACAAAACCACCCACCAAATTCCCTCTGACCCTTCTGTTACCTTAAATAGTAAACAAATGAAATCTGTATTCTCTCCTTTTATACATGGTAGAGAGTGTAACTTGTCTTGGAATAATGAGCAAGGGGTCATTTGCAAAACTGCCTTATTATCCTATTACTCTGCGGGAACAAATATGTGACTTTTCATCTTGGGGTCATAGAGGTATAAGCAATCTGCCCGTATATCACTTGATGGGTAATTTGTTGTGAAGTTAACAAGAAAAAGACAAAGGTTTAAAGGGGGGCATTGATCTTCCCAAAGGACTATTTAAAAATCACAACTTCTGCAGGACGATAGGGTGAGGACTGGGCTGCAGGTTTCGGGGATGTGTTGGAAGCCATGCCAGAGGAAAGAGGCCTTTTCAGGACTTGCACTTAGCAATGCCAGGTAGGCAATGCCCAATGGATGGCCTACAAAACCTTCCCTAGAGCAATGTTTCTTGAACTGCAGGTCATGCCTCATTAGTGGGTCATGTAACCAATTAAAATTTTAAAAACATGTAAATTAGACTAAAGCAGAATAGAGTAGAAAATATCAGAGTGCATGGCAAGGAGAAGGTCATGTAAGGTCTAGTCAAACTCTGGTTCATTTTATATGTGTGTATGTATGTTTCTGTGTGTGTGTGTGTGTGTGTGTGTGTGTGTGTCTGTGTGGTAGAGAGAGAAAGAGATCTGTTTCGGTACACCAAGTCCCAATGTAAAATATATTCTTACTGCAGGTCATAGTTTAAAAACTTGAAAGCCATTGCCCTGGAAAAATACATGGCGATGCACGTCTCAATATTGGCTTCCAACAACTTGCTCTATTTTGTGACAAATTTATAAACAAAAGGAAAAGGAATTCTTCCAAATGTGAACAGTCACCTTCTAACTCTAAATTTAAACTGCCCCTAAATTATTTTAAATTCTACTTTTTCTTCTCTGAAAAATACTTATATTGAATCACTCTTTTCAGTGCAAGCTCGAGGCAAAACAGAAAATGGGTCAAGTTTGTCTTTCTTTCCTGGGGGCACTCCCTACCCCTTTAAAGCACTCCCACTAATGTCTGTACTTTCTTTCCCTTTCCTTTTTTCAAAGCATCTTCTCATGAAAGACTGATAAATGCATTAAACAACATATAAATGACTGATAATGCTTTAATATGCCCCATTCCCAAAGGATTTACATTTTAGCCAAATATGAAACCTCACACCCCATAAAAGAATCTTGTAGAATTTAGCTGCAGGGGGGAGGAAAAGAGAATTTTGGAGAGAAGAGTGCTTTTGTAGCACTCTTAAAATCCTACCTGTGGCTGTCTATATTCTCTTCATAATGTTTCCTTTTTGACATGTAAATGATATGCATAATTTCTTCCCCTGTGGATTTGTGAAATACAACTTCAGCTGTCTTTTTTAAATAGATATTTATGAAACTGTCTTATCATAAATCTTTGAGAGGAAATATCTTTTGTCTAACTCAACTTTGTATTCATCTTACACCCAACTTACTGTCTGGCAAATTTAAGTCCTCAATTAGTAGTACTTATGACTGTTTATTATAGAATTGCACCGCTCTATAACATATGTGGTGATATTGTTTCCCCAATGTCAAACTAGGAAAAAGCACAACTGCTTGCTTTTAGGCTGAATATCAGATAGTATTATGTAAAATCTCCAGACACTGGTCATAAAACCACAATAATAATGATTTTAAAAGAACACTAATTTATTGAGTATGAAATGTATGCCAGGCTCCCAGTCCTAGATATTTTGCCTACATGGTCTCATTTCTTCCTTGCAAAACCTCGTCAATGGTGAAAGTATTGTTATGCCCTCCATACCCCCTATACCATAAACACCACAGGTACAATTTTACAGATGGGAAAACTCAGTCTAGAAATTAACATCCTGCCTACGAAGACACAATTATTAAGTCATAGCAAACAGAGCTTTAACTCGAAGTGAGTCCTTCTGCCTGCAAAGGTCATCATGCTTTCCTCACTTTTACATTTCTTAATGTTGTACCTAAAATCATGGCTTTCTGTTTCATTTCAGATACCTTACTGGCCGTCTGAAGGACAAAGCTGTGAGTGTTAAGAACACCAGGAAGTTTTCTTTGTTTTGGTTTTTCATGAAAAACGCTTCATCACAGAGTGGTTACATACCCAGAAAATACCTGGCGTGACCGTGCTAACTCAACGCATTCTGCTTGTCCTCTGCATTTAGTATCTATCTCCACTTTCAGCCCTCTTTAAATGGAGAGATAAAGTTCAAGAGAGTAAAGAGCTGGATTTGTCAACACTCTTAACCGCCTGGTGGTGGGATTCTATCAACTTCTTTGGATCTGTTCAGGTAACTTTTGTTTCCCTGTACAAATCGCAGTGCTTAATAAAGACTATGAGAAAAGCACTGTCTCCCATTTGCACACAACTTTCACATTCCCTGGTCTATCCACACAGTTTTCAACAACCACCCTTTACATTAAAAGTTGGCTTTGTATTGTCCTTCTCTCAAAGAATTTTAAATCCCCTCCAAAAGTCCTAGGTGTTCAGAAGCCACAGATCTTTAGCAGCTATGTCTACCCCCATGACAGTAAAAGGAAGAAATTGATTTTGCAACAGATATACTGAGAAATCAAATCCAGGATTCACCTTTACTCTTAAAACAGAGAATGAAACCACTGACTACCAAATGTGCTTTGGTAGCTACTCTTGGATTCCAAACTTCAATATCACTTTCCTGTATTAATTCAGTCTTAAGTTTCAGGAAATAAAATAATTACATAGTTAAACAGAGATCCTTATACAAACATGTACTGTGTTTACAACGTACCAATCCATTAAAATCAACGACAGACATAGATTATGAGAACTAAAACCCGAGCCAAGTAGACTAGCACTCACCATTTGCCCAATCCCCATCCAATGACAGTAAACATCCTATTGGAATCTGCTCCGAAAACAAAGGCTTTACCAACCTAATGTCAAGGTAAACAGGTAGTAAATACCTATTTGACACTAGTAGCCAGTGGTATCATTTTCATTCTTTAGGGTCTAAACACAACTAAATGCTGGCATTTTTTCTTTTAAATTGGCACCATTATAATATAGTTTTTTACTTGGTAATTTTTAAAAAAGTTCACAAGGTGCTGGTTCACAATGATTTAAGTTTTCTAGCCATAAACCAGCTGAGTTAAAGAGAGTAAGTAAAGACATTCTACTATTCAGAAAAAAAAAAGTTTTTTCCTATACTTTACATGAAATGCTACCCCCCAAACTAAGAGCTACATAGAATAAAAGCCCCATCAAGTTAAGCTGCGACAGTCCTGAAGTCAAGGTCATAAGATTCTTCTACTCTGTAAATCATACAAAGAAGAAAAGTAAGGAAAACATATTTTCAACACCAAGAATATATTAATTAGGAACGGAGTTAGGTCTCTCTTGAAAGGGGGATTTTAAGTTGTAATAGCTGAAGACATACCTTAAGTTCTCTGAAGAAGATACTACTCCTGGCCCACTCAACAATAGAGAAAAGGGTTTGATCAGCCATTTTGCACATAAGCCCAAACGTGCTCAGCTTTTCGTGCTTGCTTCGGTTAGCTTGTTCTTGCTGCAAATAGGCCATGATTTTAGCCTGGACTTGAGGCTCATCTGGCTCACACTTCAGAAGTTCCAGTATCAGATGTGGGATGCTTGCCGGGGAGCTCGTCTGGTAACTATCCATGTAGGAATAGCCCATTATCGACTCTGGTGAGCTGGTGTAGGGATCTGGGTACTCGGACTTGATGGCCCGGCTAGGAAAGTGACTGTATGTTTGGTAACCTTGCAGGCTGCCATGAGGTGGCATTGTCATGCTAATGGGGGATGTTACAAAGGGACTTCTGTCATAGTCTGTAGGAGGCAAGGCAGCATGGTTCAGAGGTAGGCCTTTGGAGGCAGAATGGATGTTCTGAATGGCAGAAGAGATGGTGAGCTCAGAGGGCATTGCTTGAATCACCTGAGACATGGCTTCTAGCTTAAGTCCATTGGCTCGGATGAGGGCTTTTTTCTGTTGCTTTAGGGCCCTGTCTCTCTTGTACATTGGCCCAAATTTATTCCTTCCCCCGCGCATTCGGTCAGCCCTTACCGCTGTGGGGAAATAAAAAAAAGGAGTAAGGGTATAAATAAGATGCAAATTATTAGCATTCTCTACATCTCCAGCTATTGAGAAATGTTGAAAATTGACCAGAAGTGTTAGGTATGTGGTTGTTTTCATTACAATAGCCCATAAAGATTCCCCCCCTCAAAAAGCCATTTTTGAATTCTTTCCTCTTTAAGTGTTTGTCATCAAAAAAGTATTTTGGATGCATAGGGTCATATTAACCCTTTGGTAGACAGTGAGGATTTCATAATTTTTGCTACACACAGGGGACACTACAGATTGCTAAGAAAGAGTATCAGTTTCTATTATGCCAGTTATGTCAGAATTCTCTTTACGGAAACCCGAACTACTTAGAGGAAAAAATAAAAAATCAACCCATTTCTGGATTGAATTGTGAATATTTTCCCTTAGAATATCTTCATCCCTCAAAGCCGTTTTGACTAATTAGCTGCGAAAGGGTTGGGCACATTCTCTTCCTGGAAATTTTCACCTGGACTTGATGAGCACACATCAGATAACCACCGGATATTGTTTTTAATTTAAGAACTGGACATAATTAAAGCAAATTCATTTCAGAAGCTGTCAAGACAGTCTACCATCACAGTGCTGTGTGGACTCTGGGACCATGTCAAATAAGTGAATTCACAGTGGTCTCCAAGCCCATAGTGGCCAATGACAATTAGAAACCAGCGACCTCTGACAGCTTCTGACATGTTGAAATTGCTGGAGGTTAAGTTTTTGAGCTTTTGATCTTAGGATTAATATGGCATTAAACATTTATTGTGAACACTAGGTATCTAGAATATTGTGCAAGTTTTTCATCTGGATGATAATTTATTGAATATTCCACTTTTTCATATCACTGTTAAGGAAGTATGGTTATGCCCCACAAGTGACTTAGTAATACTTTTTAAGGTAAAGAAATGCAACCTTTTCATTAAAAAAAGAGAAATCAAATGACATCATATGAAGCCACAACATTTACTTGTGTGTGTGTGTGTGTGTGTGTGTGTGTTTTGGTTTGTTTTTTTAAGTAGGCTCCATGCCCAACGTGGGGTTTGAACTCATGACCCCGAGATCAAGTGTCACATGCTCTACTGACTGAGGCAGCCAGGCGTCCCACAACATTTACTCTTTGACATTTTATCTTTTGAGTCTCATACGACAGTATGCATCTCCCACAGTATTTGCTGTTTGGAAAATAATAAAGTGATTGGTAATAAAGAAATTAGTGAGCATTTCTTTCTTGATCTTTCTCCATCTCTTCTTAATAGCAATACAGAGGGGCACCTGGGTGGCTCAGGTTAAGCCTCTGCCCTCAGATTCCTGAGGTCCTGGAATTGAGCTCCAGGGTGGCTCTCTGCTCAGCAGGGAGTCTGCTTCTCCCTCTCCCCCTCCCCCCATTCATGCTTGCTCTTTCTCTCTGAAATAAATAAAATCTTAAAAAATAAGTAAAATAAAAGCAATACAGAGTTAACAGTTCTAATGATAACCAAAGTGGCTACTTCTATTGGGAAAAAATCTATTAGCAATTTAGCAGATTTATTTGAAATCTTTTGAGTATTTCTATCAAGTATGAGTGCCACATCACAGGAAAGCTCCACACACAACTAGCCTGTGCCTCATTGATCAACTAAAATGCACTCTTGAATCTGGCACATAACAGTGACATGTATCCCTTATTATTACTTTATTTGCACTATAGTTAAATCTGTGGAAAGTCAGTAGGCTGGAGGCTAAGAAACAGCAACACACCAAAATAGTCCATGAACTACAGACTACTTACAGCGACCACATATTAACTTTCCTCCCTGCCAATCTGTACATTGTAAATACCAGTTCTACTCTCACAACGTAAAGTCTAACATGGCTTTTGGGGAACCACTATCTTATTCCTGTCAAACCAATGCTACTGATTTAATAGTTCATTATATTTCATGTTTCCTACTTTTCAACTTCATTTCACAGCCTTCATCATCTTAAAAAAAAGAAACGTGCTTTCCCACACTATCAAAATTATACTCTACACGAGAAACCCCATTGCACAATTAAAGGCTTTAACTCTTGCTCAGGAGCCATGAAATTAATAGTAACAATTGTGACAAGTAAACAATTTAAAAGATTAAAATCAGACTTTTACTAGAGCATCCGATTTGAAAACTTACAAGTATTTTTTTTTTAATTTTTGCAAATGTTTAAAACTTGTTCTCAGTTGAATTACATTAGTCTTGTTTTCATCTAACCTGGCCTTTTTAGCGTCAAATCCATCTGCTCTCCAAACTAAAAAAAAAAAGTGGGGGGAAACTCTGATATTTAAATTTTTTCCTAGTAGATGTCACCAGTGTTTAAATGATACTCAGACATCTCTGCTGACAAAACATAAAAAAGTTCTTACATTATTGTCCATGGTGTTAAAACTAGGAAAATAATGTTATATTCTAAGTACAATGTTATTTTAAACCTTATGTCCTTGGAGAGTTTTAACAGGCAGTAGTCTTTGGAAGAAACTTACCTTCTAGCTTCATTCCAACACTTAGACATTTTTGAAATCGACAGTAAGGACAACGCTTTCTCTGTGTTTTATCAATTTGGCAGTTCTGGTTTTCTATACATGTGTACCTTTTATTATTTTGGACTGTTCGCTTAAAAAATCCCTACAAGACAGAGAAAATAGTGAGGCATATTAAAAATCTAACACCCATCTCTTCCATTGTTTCATTTTAAGGAAATCACCAATAAATCTTTTCATTGAACCAATGAGCCCTTCCGTGGTTTTGTGGTTTGTTTCACATTTTAACAAGATCCACACACCAAAACAGCACCGGGCCAAAGTGGAGATTTTTCTAGCACTTGAGTTCTATTCCTAGAATTATATCAAATCTTGGGGAGATTTGGATATACTCCATTTCATCTCAACAGTCAGAGAAAAATACATTCTATATTGACTAGTATTAAAACACACACACACACATCTGTTTTCTTATTAATCTCATATTCCAGGTAAGGTACTCATGGAGATCTGCACTGTTTGTAAGCAGTCTGATAGAATTTTAGTGGCAAACTATTGTAAAATAACAGTGGAAAACTGAATAGCAAAACACCCCAGATTTTTTTTTTTCTTTCCCAAATGTCAGCACTCGATAGTTAAGAGCAAAAGGATTTAAAGAGTAAAATGGGTAAGTGTTCATAATTCCATTGGAATACATTCAAGTTGGGGAACTCTGTTAAAAAAAAAAAAAGAAAGGTAAAACTAATGGAAAAGAAAATCATGTGTAGCAGAGAGCTGAATTTTAGCAGTGTTTTTCTTATACTGCACCGAAAAGAATTCATCAAAAACAAATTTTGTAGCTTCATAATACAGTAAGAGCTTTACCAGGATGGTATATTCTTTATGTTTATCCTACTAGCCATAAAGTGAAACAATCTTACTTTGTTATAGAGAATGAAAGGATTTTCCTGCCAGTGGTTTAAGTATTTGTAACTGAGCTTTCTCCTTTAAAAAATGTTGAAAAATAGCAAGTATCAAGTTGACTGGGAATATATTAAAAAGGTCTGTGATAAATTCTTGATGTAGGGTTGAGATTATTAGGAACAATAAAGTACAAGTTACATATTAAAACTTCTTGCATTTAAATAGGTCATATAATTTATTTATGAAAGCTACACTTAACTATAAACTGAGATGTGGTTTCTTATTCTTTATGATATAAATTTCAAAAAATCTTAAGAATTGTTTTTGGAATAAATAAGGATAAAATCACACAGTTGAGAATTTAGACTTTTACCTGTGGATAAAAATGTTTAGACTTGCAGCACAGAATAGTCTGAAGTTAAAATATATTTGGGAAATACTTTGTCATGTTCCCTCTCAAGAACAACGATGCTTTAAATATATATAAGTCAAGCAAAATCAATATTTAGGACTGTTAGAAATAGAAGTCTTTCTACAGATACATCACTTTACTACAATAAAATATTTTAAAGCCACGAGACTGGCAAAGTTTTCTAAACAGCATAATTTTTTTTTTGCCTTTGGAATTAAATCAAACACACGTTTCAAAGAATTGTCTCCCTAAGACTAACTCTCTCATTTTTGAGTCCAAAAAGGACAGCCTAAATTTAGCTTTAAAAAGCAATCCAATGGTTTATTTTGGTTTTGAACCTTGTATTTGTCAGGTAGCAATGTGTAAGCAAACCTTGCAGCTTTCACAGGTGAGGAGCCCATAATGGTATCCAGACACTTTATCTCCACACACAGGGCAGAGCTCTTCAAGATCTTCATCATAGGAGTAATTCACCATTTTAAACTGAGACACTGAAACAAAAGAAATGTATATACATAGTTAATTAACTCACTCAGTAGGTTTTAATCCTGCAGTGAGAAGCATTTTGGTAACTGGTGGGCAAATATCACAGGTAAAATATAAAATATATTTTTTATCCAGCTGTAGTGAAAACCTATTTTTATACAATGAAAGTAAAAGATCTTTTGGACTCAGCGAGCACGCACTTCCTATTTTTTAACTGAAAAAGAATTCCAACTTGTTTTAAGAATTTTAAACTTACCACTGTTGAACACATAGCTCATAACTGCAAGGCAGCAAATCAGAATAGAAACATGAATTGCAGAAATAACAATTTAGAACTTTAAACCTCCTAAAGTTAAGATTCAAAAATGTCACCTTTGCCTAGGAGAGAGAAACAAGCACACACAGTCTCCCACTCTTGAACTAAGTTTGCTGCAAGTACACCTCGCTCAGCAGGAGAGCAACTCCGACTTGCAAACACTTGACCGAGAGCCTGAAGCCCCAGAAACCTGCTTCTCAGCAGCAGCCCCACTTGAACCACAGCCTGCTGCTCCCTACGTTCAAATCTGTTAGATTAATTGAAACATTCAGCTCCATATCGACAGGACTCCTGTTCTGGATACTTTCATCTCTTCACACTTGAAAATCTCCTGTAAAAACAGAGAAGGAAAAGAGAGAGGACGCCGGGCAGAGAGAGAGAAAAAGGAAAAGATACACACGAGGGTCTCGTTTCGTCGCAAAGTATTAAAGTCCTGTGATAAACTTCACATGTTTCCGATAATCAGTGCAAAATATAAACACCTCCGGATCGCCCTGTTAAAGTTAAACAGAAATCAGGCCGTGGCTCCGCGCGGTTCCCTGCGGGGATCGAGTAACCGCCTTCCGCCGGACGCAGCTCTGCGAAGGCGCCTTTGCAGCCAAAAGATGGATAAACTATGCACAGGAAGGACAGTGGCCGGGAGATAATACCTGATCTAATCCCTTCCCGAGACTCACCCAGGGTCAGGTGTCGGAGGGCGGACACAACGGGTACCTGCGGTAAGGGGCAGGTCCGCGCAGCCCGGCACCCTAACCCTCCCGGGCACCTTCCTGCGAAAGCCCGGGGTGCACTCGCCTCTCGCCCCTTGCTCGGCTACACACAGGCGCACTAACGCAGAGTCGAGTTTAAGTTAATCAGTGGCACTTGAAGGAGGCGGGGCGGGGGGGGCGGGGAACCGATGGCCGGACAGAAGTTTCCTCTGATTTGTTTACCAAAAAGGAAAGAGAGAAATAGCCCCCACCGCATCCCCAAAGTTCCCGGCCACTCCATCACCATAATGTGGCCGCTTCGACAATGACTCGTTCTTTTCCTTATTCTTTTTAAAATAAAGTTCTTTTTTTCTTTATGGATTCTGCAGGCCTCCGGAAAGGGCCGTGGGGAGGTGAGGTCACTTGCACCACTTCTAGGCTGAGGGCCGAGCACAGACCCGCTGAGTTTGAGCCATCTCTTCCCGAGCCACAGAGCCCTGGTCTGGGGCTTAAACCCGAGTGAGTTAGCCAGAGTTTGGAAATAGGGGGTGGGGTCCCCGTGAAAGATGTTCCCGTAGAGGCAGGCGCTTGGGCTCCGTAAAACAGAAGTAAAGAGATACTGAGCGCAGTCCTCCCAGCGGTGCCAGCTCTAAGAGGTCCGCGCTCCGGTTTTGGGAAGCTGGGGGTTTGGGGGAACTTAGGGTTCGAGAAGTTCGTTTATAGCCCCATCTCTCCCCAAACTTAAACTACTGCTTTGTGGCGTGTTTTAGGGACGGGAAAAACTGTACTTTTATTGTTTTTACTCTCCCAAAAAAGTAAAGTCTAAACTTTGCACCTAAGAGGCACAGCGAGGCAAACGTTTGCAGGAGGATTCGGTGCCCGCGTCGGGGATCCAACCCCAAAAGGACCGGAGTTGAGGGTGGGGACCCTCTTGGACAGAGTCCGTGTGGGTAGACAGTTGCCGCTGTGCAAGACCGAGGCATCTTTCAGTTTCCCAGGTGCTGTACCCAAGTAGGCATTTGAAGAAGGGAATCCGTTAGGGCAAAGAAGTCCCTGTCTTAAAGTGAAGAGGACGGTGGGGCCTTGTAAAGCTAGGACCGCAGAGAGGCACGCAGAGAAATTCCCCCTAAGTTGGACGCGCTACGGTGTCCCGAAACCCAATGGCGGGTCCCCTTTCTGATCGGATTAGGGCGACTAGGGCGTGTCCCCGGCCGAGACCAGAGCAAGCATGGTAATGGGGTCCCATCCCCAGGGACTGCCCTCGAGGTGTAGGCCACGTGGCCTAGGGGAAAATCGTGCCCTGGCCCTTTCCATGCTGTTTTCGAACCCGAAGTGAGCGAGCGGCCGGCGACTTCTCCTGAGCCCTGGACACAACGGAGGGCAAACTTCCTGCTTTGGGGCAGTAGGTCGTGTCAAGAACGCCCCTCCCGAACTTTACAGGGAAAATATTACAGTGGCATTTCCCTCCCATTTCCCCTCACCCCCTGAACCCTTATTCTTGCCTCCCCTACTTCTTGATCCAGCGTTTCTCTGAGGGTCTTTTCCCGAGTCTCAGAAACGCGCGCGCCGGGACGAGCAGCAGGAACTTTCCTTTTGCACCCAAGATCGCGCTGGCCTCAAGGGCGCCCAAAGGGTTGTCCCTCTCCGCAGCTCAGGCGGAGGGTTCCCAGATCCGGCTCCCGGCGCCCGGGTCCCCCACGTCCCCACTTCGCGGGAATCCCAGGTGAGGGCGAGAATGCCTCTTTGGGCCAACCGGGTTCCTCCAGCAGCCAACCCTCAAGTTAGTCTCAGGGGCCGCAGCCCCCAGGGCACGTCCACAGCCCTTCCTGGAGGGTTGGAGAGACCCCAGGATCACAGTGGGGTAAGCGACCCAAAGGCATAACGCACGTCTTGCCGCCACCCCCCAGTCCCCCAGCCCAGCCGGGCGACGTCAGGGCCCCCGGGGCCGAGTGCTGCAGGCGCGCCGCCTATCCCGCACCGCGGCGTGTACCAACCCCAAACTCTGGTCGGACTCTACTCTCAACACCTCCCCGGCCCTTTCAAGTTTGCTCAAGGGGATGGCAGGAAGCGTTCCGGGATCACAGGCCCGCCTACCCGCACATCCTGCGCGCTGGAAGGAGCGAGAATGGAAGAGCACCGGTGACTTTTCCTAGCATTGTTCCCTCCCCGGCCCAGAGCAACTGCGATAAACTTCTGAAGGGCTCATACAGCCAGATCTAGAGCCGCTGTTTTGGAATGCGGCAAAAATATTGCCAGCAGAGTTTGCTTTTTTTGTTGTCAGCAATCAAGAGCTGGGAAAACAAATAGGACTTCCATACTCCCGGTTCTCGAACTGAAGCAGAGGCATTAAGCTAAACCGCTGCCCCCCACCCTCAACTAACTCGGCAATACCCGCGCAGAAGATGGGGTTGGAGTAACTTTGGATCTCTTCAGTTCTGCCTGCAGTTCTGAAGTTGTCCAAATTATAGCCGGCGCCCAGTTGTCCGCATGGGCGTTTGGGGGGGCCCACATGCATTCTAACGCCGCTAGGACAAGCTTTTCCGGGGTCATCTTCTCTTTCTGTAGTTAACTTTGCTAGGCAGGGTGTTTTTCCTCCACACAAGAGCACTGATTAAAGTTCCCACCGATTCAGTGACTGAGAACCTGCTCCGGTTTCCAGTGAGGCATTCCATTTCTTAGAATGATCTTATTATTCTGAAGTATCTGTAGCCTGAAGGCGCCCCCCCCCCCGCCTCGGGTTGCCATAGATCTCGAAGCCTCTCTTTTCTTAATTAGAAGCGGCCAATTAGGCATTGCTTGGAAAACCTCCGCCCCGCATTGTTCAAGAGCCATAAACTTTTATGCCTGTCCCTGGGGTGGGGGCCTGCCGCCCGCGCGCAGCCCCACAGCCCGGCGGCCGCGAGAGCCCAGCCGGGTAGCTCCAGCGCCCGCGAGGGGTGGGCGGCTGAAGCCCGCAGGGCAAGCCCGGGGGTGGCGTGGCCGCGGGAGCCCGAGCGCCGCGCAGCGCCTCCTTACCTTGCATGTTTTCCGGCATCTGCCCCTGTTCCCCATGCGATCGAGCCAGTCCCAGGGCTTCCGTCTCCACTTTGGGCAGCATGACAAGGCGGCCGCGGGCGGGGATAGGGGGTCCGTGTCCGTCCGGAAGCCCAGCACCTGGACACGGGGCAGCACAGATTCAACTCCGGCGGAAAAAAAGGAAGGGCGACTGGGGTGCCGGCTCACCCACCCGCTCGCAAGAGCGTGCCTCCGCCTCCTCCCGGGGCCGCGGGTCAGGACCCCTGAGCCCCGTCCAGTCTCGCAACTCCGGAGCCGCCCCCAAGCCGCTGGGAGGAGATGGCGGGCTACGAGATGCGGTGAAGACTGCGTCCGGGCGCCTCGGTTTGGCTCGGCGAGGGCGGAGGCGGCGGCGGTGGCGAGGGCGCAGCTGCCCGGGGCGCGGATCCGAGTGCGGCCGAGCTGCGGGCGGGCAGCGGAGACGGCGGCGAAGCCGCTGGTGCTCCCGCCCCGGCGGTGCCGCTGCCGCTGCTCCCGGACGGCTCGGGCGACTTCTACCCCTCCCTCCACCCGCCCTCTGGCTCAGAATCGCCAGGGGTCTCTCTCTCTCTCTCTCTTTCTCTCGCCTCACTTCTCCTCTCCGCCCCTTCCCTCGTCTCTGCTTCCCTCTCGCTCACTACCACAAGTGTGGAGTTGTGAAGTTCCAGGCTCCCTCTCCTGCCTCGTTTACTCCTCCCGCGTGTCCGAGAGCAGTCCTTCCAGCCCCGAGGGTGACGGTGCTGGCAAGGAAAGGGGGAAGATGAGGAGTGGGGAGGTAAGTAAGACGGGGCTAAGGGGAAGGCTGGGATGAGGGGTGATGACAGTGAATGGGGACGCGGGCTCCGGACTAGGTCGGACACCAGCCGCCAGCCAATGAGGATGAGGCGCATGCTCCAGTCCCCTCGCCTGCCCCAACCTCACCACCCCGCCTTAACCCCCTCCCACCCCACCCTGACCTGGGGCGGGGGATGTGAATGCTGCCGGGTCTTCCAGCTAGTGAGAGGCGACCTCTGTCTGAGCGCAGCGGCGGAGGACGGGAGGCTAGGGCGGCGATTTATTTCTGCGAGCTGGGGGGAAGCCAGAAGGGACGCGGGAGTGTGTGGGTGTGCGTGCGTGTCTCCGCGCGCGTGTCGGGTCAGGGGCTGGAGGGGGTAGTTAAACACCCATTTGAACAACCTAAAGGAGAAAAGAGATGTTGAATTCAGTGGACCGCTCTTCTCCAAAGAGCTGGCCCGCTCTCCAGGGTCTCCCGGCTTCATTAACCCCTCAGGATGCAGTCCTAAAAGGCCCCACCGTGGGTCCCGGGAGTCCTGGAGTGGCCGAGCGTCCCGGCCCACCGAGGAGACAGCCATATCGCCGCACGTTCACTCACTTGCCGGAAATCTGAGAAACAGCTATCCCTGTTTACCCACTCTACCAGTTTCTTCACTCAATTATAAACACCCCACCCCCTCCAGCCTAAGATTATATTGGCGGCAGACTTCCTAAATTTTAGTGAACTGCGTTTCCAAGTAGAATGCAAAGACCGAACTAGGCTTTCCTTTTTCATTCTGGTGTCTCTGGTGGGACCATCCACATGAGGCCCAGAGGCCCAGCACTTTTAATAAAGTTTTAAAGAACCATCTGTTATGTAAGCTCTTCAGCCACCAGCCCAGCCACATCTTCAAAAAGTTTTCAGATCTCATCCCAACAAGATGAAAAACATTTTTTTCCAGCCTCATGACTGCATATGAAATGCCTCACATTCAGTGTCTGTTGCAAGACGGGGTAATTATCAGAGTCCACCCACAAGGGGGTGAATTTGAATCTCAAAAGATCTGAATTTATTCTATTTGAATGGCATGGAGATCACACATTCAAACTGTCCAGTCCAGTATTTGATGAATTGGAAAACACTCCAATCATCGCCACGATTAATCTACACTTTTACATGAAACGGGTTGTTCATCACCTACTGGTGTCTGGCAATTCAGAGGCTGTTGGCTCTCTAAATTTTTCTTTTTGTCATTTTGTTCTTTAATATATATTCAGAATCTAAGTTATTTAAATCTCAGTTTTGTAGCATCATCAAATTTCATAAAAATGTTTAAACTTGAGGGGAGGGAGACTGTCCATTAGTTTGGAAAGTGCAGTGGGCTGTGGTTGCCAAAATTAGGGAACCTTAAGATGCTCGGATTTCTGTGATAGTATCAAGTAACACTGTCAATCCATTTTCAATATTACTAGTTGTTTTAAATACCATTGTGAATTAAGTGCATACACACACACATATATCTACATAGTTCAGAAAAGGAAAGGAATTACATCTCAGGGCTCAAATCAGTTCTTGCAGTGCTTTGTGGGTTCAGATGAACTTTGAAAACCAGTTTATTACAAAGTCTTAATTTAGGAGTGTCCTACTACAATCAAAGAGCTTATGGGGCACTTATGTAGCATCTTCACAAACACCAGGCTGGCAGCTATGGAGAACTTCAGACTCTTGGTCCTCAGAGGGAGCTTCCAGCTCAGAGCCAGAGGGAAGGTCCTCTGGTTGGTAGAGCTGAAGTAAGAGCTTAGGAGAGTTGAAGTCTGACAGACCATATATTTGTGGTCTGCATGGTGAAATCCTTGCCTGGACTTGAAGCAGAGCCTGACCTAGCCCAGGCAAACTTTGTGATCACATGCATAACCCAGCTTCAGCCCCAGAAGGGGCTTGTTTAGACCACAGCGTCTCTTCAGTCCAAGCCAGTCTGCCTTCACCTCACACACCCCAAACCAGCAGTCATAGTGACAGAGGGCCAGCTGACATTCATTTATCTCCTCCCCAAACCAGAGGAGGTGGTGAGGGGGGAAATAGGGGCTGGAGACACCGTTTCAAAAAGCCACCCTTAAAAAAAAAAAAAGTCCCAAGATTGCCTTGCTTTGAGGCTCTTGTCCAGGCTGACCGCAGCAAACAAACGGAAGGGACACCGCAAACACAGGAGGTCTCAAGCAGAGAGAAAACTTCGGTGCTCCAGGCCTCCCGCTCCAGGGAGAGAAGAGGCTGGCTTAACCCTATCCCAGATCCCCTCGGCGTGGTGAAAACACCCCGCCCCCCCCCGCCCCGCCTGCGGTGCACAAGGTGGGAAATCTTCCACTGCAATTGGTTCTAGTCAGAGACCGGAGGGCACACTCACCTTTTCACGGTTTTTCTCCTCAAGGAGTTTAGGGGAGCGGCGGAGTTCCCAACCCTGGGGCAGACACAGAGGGAGGGGCGGCGGCACCGAGGCTGCCGACACTACCCTCTTTCCGCCCTCCAAATGCATCCATTCCGCACTCTCTGAGTTCCCTCGGTCCTAATGTTCTGGTCCCTTGAGCCTTCAATTCGTCTGGGCCCGCATTGGAGCCACGGACCGCTTGCCCTGCGATGGGAGATCGGCCTGGGCGTCTCCCAGAACACCCTCTCGGAAGGAGAGCTGGGGGAGGAGGGGCCTGAGCCGCCCACGGTGCCTCCGGTCGGTTACCTGAGGATGGTTCTAGGTTGCAGAGGCAGCCGTGAGGAAGGAGAGCTAAGTGGACGCGGGAAGGAGGAGGCATTTGAGATGGGAGTAGGGGAATAGGGCCTGTGTGGTCTAAACGTTGATGCCGGTAGTTGGACTGGCTGGCAGACACACCGATCGGCTTGGAATAATAAAGCCCCCATAGGCGGGCAGACGCATCCCATCCTCCGCCAGGGACATCTTTACCTACTGCCACTCTGCCTCTTAGTGGATGCACACTGAGGAATCCACCCCGTCTGCGGGAAACTTAACTGGTGGCAGAGACCACAGACCATAAGTCGGGAGGCAGGGGGAGGCTGTTCCAGCTTTAGCTACCGAGTGCATTCTCAATTTCTTCCCTGCATTCTTCTGCCAACTTCTGGCAAACTTCTCTCCCCTTTCCCCTCTCTTCCCCCACGCCCCCACCTTCTTTCCGACGAGACTGGTCTCCAGGGCTCGTCCTTCCCCGTTCTGACTTTGTCTTAAAGCATTGATTGACGGTTGCAATTATAAAGGATGATGGCTCAGGGAGGCTCCCGCAGCCTTGATGAGCCCGAGGAGCGCAGTCCTGGCATATTTTATCCAGGCTCAGCGTTACGGGGCCGTGCGCCCCATTCACCCGGCGGGCTGCAGCTGAGGAGGTCTCGCACTCCCCACCCGCGAGGATGTAACCGCCTCGCTCTCCTCCCCCGCCTCCACTTCTCCGCTGTTCCGCCGCCCCGCCGCCGCATTTCAGAGAGCGCGCCGGGAACAGCCTGCCCTTGACCTGACCTGAGAATTGTTGGCCAGCCCCGCGCGCTTAACGCATGGAGGCTGCAAAGGGAGTGAAAGATGTCAAGATTTTTAGGACTGGTTCAACTTTCCTGGGCTCGGAAAACACAGGTCCCCAAGTAGAAGACCCACCCCTCCCGCGCGCCTGGGTGGGAAAAGCCTTGCATGACCCACACAACCTCGCACGAAACTTGCAAATCTACATTTCTTGGAAACAATTTCTAACGTCTACTCCATTTCTACTTTTCGGTGGTTTTTTAAGAAACCAGAATCATTACTTTTCTCGTAGCACGTGTCTAGTTCCCAGCCTCAGAAGAAACCTAGATTTTTTTCGAAAAGTCTCCACCAAGTGGCCGGGATAGCCAGAGGGGAAAGAGAAGCAAGTTTACCAGCCTACGGAAAACTCAGGCTCTGCCTAATTTTTCAGCGCCTCCCACTCAAAAAGCCCATCAGAAGGCTCTTTTGCCTTTCTCTGAAGATTAAGTTTAGCAAGAATTCCAGAGTTCCGCTCCTGAGCTCAGGGGGCTGGGCTATCCGCCTCCGCTTCCAGGCTTCCCCAGCCGGCGTCCAGGGCACTTTGCTTTAAGATGAGAGGGGTTAAATTTCAGGACAGACATGCAAATTACCAAGGAGGACCGTAATGGCCGAAGCTTTGAAAAAATAAATTTGAATAGGTGAGAAGTCGTGCCTTGTTAAATAAATAAATATTCCTTCTGGTACACGTGTAAAGAACTACTTAAGACATCATCTGCCACAGCTAGGAGAGCAGGAGGAAAAACTGCTATCAATTTAGACACTCTACCCCTGGAAAGACTTGTGTGTCAGGGGTAGCCGCAAATGGGGATTGATTCA